CGGGGAGCCGGGCTGGAGGGGCTGCTGCCGCCGCGCCCTGCCCCGTGTCTGCCCCCGCCCTCCCCTTGGGCGCAAGGAGCCTGAGCCGAGCCCGCCCGGGTGTCGGACGGTGCTGCTCCCCTGGTCCCTCGTGCTGTCGCTGGTGCCTCGCACTTGGATGACGTTAACAAACCACAGCCCGAGGCCGCCCGTGCTGCCCCTCCTGCTGGAGGGGGGCTTCTGGCGCGCGTCGGTAAAGCTGCTGCGCTTGCTGTCGCGGTTCTCTCTGTCGTGTGCCGGGACGGTAACCCGGCGGCGGGGGGGGACCGGGCCTGGGGTTCCCCCGGGGCCTCTCCCCTGCCCGGGCTGGGCGGCGGCAGCTCCCGGGCGTGAGCCCGCTGGGCCCCGGCCGGGCCCCCCTGCGGCCTGTCCTCCTCCACCTGCCCCGGCCACAGAAAATGAAGCGGAACAGCACAAGTGCGCGTTGTCCGGGAGCTGCTCTGTTTTATAGTTGACACCGTAATTTGCTCTGCAACTGTTTTCTCATCTAGGTGATTGTGTAGATCGCTGGTCTCGCCTCACGGCGTCCCTGGCGTGGACTCCAGCACTTTTCAGTAGAGGTGAACCTAAACGCAGGGAGTTTCCCTGTGGTAGCAGTTACGAAGGTGGAGCTGCCAGCCTCTAGAGCCCTGCGAGGTGTCCCCACAAGCCCTTCAGCTGGCACGTACCTGGGGTGCAGCTGACAGCTGCCGCTCACAGCGTGTGGGCTCCTGGGCCTGCCTGATGCTCTGCTCTTGCCCTGGGTGGCAAAATGGAGACCTGGGCCCGTCGGTGCATGCTTGGGTGTTCTTAGGCACAAAAATAAAAATAGCAACTATTGGGGACTCTCAAATTCATATAGAGGATACTTTTTTTTTTTTTTAAAGGCTGTAGAGTCTTATTGGAATCCAGATAAAAATAAAATCATCTTTTGAAAGACTGAGGATATTTGGGTGGGAGGAGAAAAGAGCCTTTAAAATGGATCCTGAATGAGCCTGTTTTCTGCTAGATAAATCCTGTTGGGTGAGGAGTCAGGGAAACAGACTAGTCTCCGTATTTTGGGGGAAGAGTAGGATAGAATTAAAATAGACACGGTTTATTTCATTAAGGCAATTGGACTTGATGATTCTCATCTTTGCTGGTGACAGCTGGTGCTATTTCAGCTTGTAAGATGGTTACACCTGTGTGGAGCGCTCAGTTCTGTAAGGTGCTCCTTACGCCCGTTACCCGATAGGCGTGTTACTGTGAAGTGGAACTGCTCAGCAGGTTTGTGCCTCTGGATGACGTTTGCAGGGTGTTTCACTCGGAGGGGAATGATAATTACCCACCAGTTTGATAAAAATGAATCTCTTTGTTTCAGAAATACTTAATTGCATGAGCAATACAATACAGTACAGGCAGTCAGAATGTCTCTTCAGTTTTTTTGTGAGGTCCCTGCACAACATTAAGAAGTTAACCTCTCTGAGCTTTTAGAAGTAAAAACATTGCCTGCTCATTGAGCTGCTCATATTTAAATCACTTACATTTTTAAAAGGTCTCAAAAACCTGAGAGAGAAATGGTGGTAGAAATGGAGAGTTTCTTTAACGGTCCTGAACTTTTTATCATGACAGGCAAGTTCCTGAGCATGTAGAATTTCTATTTCCTCACAAGAAAAAATTAAAACAAATCCAAGTGTTAGAAACTCAGAGATAAATAGCGTAAATCCATATTTAGCTTCCCGTTGTCATGTAAATCTTGATCATGATGTTACCTGTTTTCCTGACTTACACCAAACCTCCTAGAAAATTCCAGTCTTGGGTGGGATGTGGCTTATGGCGCTTTAACGTGAGCTGCTTTTTTCTGGACGTGTTTGTGATAAGATGATTTCTGCAATTTGGGGAGCTACCATAGGAGTCCTGGGTTCAGGGTTCAGACCTCTGCGTTGTCACTCGCTGCTGTTCTTTTGGGGTAGGTCACTGAGGGCTCTGACTGATAACTTGTCTTCAAATGGATGAGGATTTTGCACTTCCCCTGGACACTGTTGCTATTCCACCGTATACAATGTTGAGCTTAGGGAAAAAAACCCTCAGTCAGTTATGTTCTTCTTTTTAAAAGACTTTGTAATAAGGTAGTTTTTCAGGGGTTGGTCGGCAGAAGCTCAGTTGTTCATATGAAAAGACTGATACACAGTTGGTGGCAGTAATTAGTTACTGTCCCCGTGTCAGTCAGAGCACTCAGACTTGGTTTCTCAGACAGCGCTGCCTTGGAAAGGATGCTGTAAAAGCACATGGGATTTTGAAATTTTTAAGTTGTTTTTTTTGTTTTGTTTTACAAAAAGGTGGCTTTTAAACTGAAGCACACAACAGCTTTGTCATGCAATAAACAGGTAGTAGAGTAAATGTTTTAAAATCATAGTTGCATTAGCTATTGGCTTTATTTAAAATGGATCAAGTAACAATTGAAAAATCTTGGCATAATTATTATGTTTACTTTGCATTTATCTTGACTTAGCTAAAGAAAACTTATTGATTCTAAAAGTAATAGACCTTATTTCTAATTTTATGCTGCAGTGCATGTGGCATATGGATTCCTAGTAATACAATGGCTTTTGCAAGAGCAAATGGTAGAAAAAGTATACCTACCTGTGGAACCCTAAATGAAGCTGCGTACAGTTACTGTTTGGTTCACGTTTGGGTGTTTTCTTTCAGAAAAGGGACTGACGTGACACAACAGGGATAACCAGTCCTGCAGCTGGTTCTCAGCTGTACTTGCTGAGGTTTTTTTGACCATGGCTCAAAGCGTTACAGTGTAGAAAGCATTGCATCTTTCTTCTCTTGCATTCAAACTGTTATTTTCCCATCACAGTGTGAAGTCATGTAGCCATGCCTGACCTGGCATAGAAGGCTCATTCTGGAGGCATAGATGCAGCATGGAAATTATTTCCGAAAAGCTGGGGTTGACTGAAATCACTGAATAATGGGGGGCTGGGGGGCATGCTGTTAGAGTTGGATGTAAATGTTTGATAAGCTGCTTTAAAATGTGATGATGTTTCTTATTTTTAGTCAAGTGCTGTAACTGACTAGTACTTCTGGGTAGAAGTAGCTGAGGGTGGTATAAACAATGAATTTCAAAAGGATTTCACTCAACAAGATAGATCTTAATGTAATAGCTTTTGAATTCACAAGAGTTGGTGTTAGCAGTGTTGAGCGCAGAGTGTTCTGCGTTAGAAGTTTCATTGTCCGTGTCTTCACTGACTCGTTAAGAGTCAAAGTACACTTCTCCCTTTTCAGGTTCATTTACTGCATAGCTTTGCTGTATTATCTTGCATAAATGATGCAGAACCTCATTAAACTCTGCTTAAGAAAACACCTTTTTATCATTTGTAAGAGAAATAAACAGAATTGAACTGAGGACCTGAGCGTTAACCTTGCTTATCAAGTTAGAGCAACTGAAAGTAAAAAAATTACATTGTGTGTATGCAGTATTTATTTTCCTTAGTTTGGCTTCATCAAAGAGTGTAAGAGTGTAGCTTAAAGTTTACATGCATGGCAGTGGTAATTTAATGAAATGTAACTCCAGCTGGTATGTCAGGGAGACTTTAGTGTCTCAGTCAGAGAAAGCTGGAAAAACTTCCAGCTTAGCTTCCATGTGACAGTGGTGCCTTTTGCTGCCCTTTTAAACTTTGCACCAAGTTTCTTTTTCAGTTTATCTTCCTCGCTTTCACCTACTCCTATTCCATTTTCTCTAATCGTAGAGGGCAAAGAACTATTTAAGAATCACAGAAGCAGGACAGAGGTACTAAAAGCTTCAACACAAAGTAGGCCCAGCTTTTAATTTTGTGCAGATTAATACTTTGATCTGTATTAAATGCATTTTGAAGTACAATAATTTTATTAGTAAAAGAGAGATGTGGTCTTTGGTGATGGAAAGTACAGCCTTTCTGGAATCAGTGATCTGGCAAGGAGGGTGGAGATGAGCAAGGGGCTGGAGCTCCTCTGGGAGCCATGTGCTTTACCAATCGCTCAGTTAAGGTGAGAACAGTTTGCAGGCACAACCAAGAGCTGATATCTTGTGCAACCTGAGAAATTGCTCAATTCAGCAAAGTTTCTCAACAAACGCAGAAGATAAGGAGAAACAGAGAAACTTGACAGATACGAACAGGACGGTGCCAACCTGCTCTGATTTACTATGCTAAAAGAGAAGCAATTAGTGTTGCAAGGGAGAGTCATTAATACTATAGCACTTACTGGTTTATTCTACACTGAAGTCCACATACCAAATATATCTGATTCTTTCTTTGTAAACAGCAATTACTTGGCAAATGTTTGGGTTTTTGTTTCACAAGACCATTTTAACTGAAATAACTTGTTGCTATTGAAAAAAAGGGAGGGCTTTTTTCTCATTCCCCATTTCTCTTCCCCATTCCTACTGCTCTTCTTTGGTGCTAGTTTTCGGAGAAGTCCAGGCAGAAATGAAATAGCTTTTTTTTCAATTGTACTAACAAATGTTGTTACGACCACAAAGTTGGATGCCAGAGTTACTTATTATGGAAAAATCTGAACTTTACACTGTATTTCAAACAACTATTACATTTGGGACAGTATTTGTATATACTTCGTAATACCTAAGCTAATGTGGTACTTTTAAGCATCTAATATCCTGGAAATTAAGGGAATTTCTTCATCTTCCCTGTTACAAAACCACAGCTGCAGATTTTCTTCTGAAGGGTAAAAAGCTATTGCATAGTTAGGGGACTTCCTACATGTCTACACACGCTTCCACTGAGGTGCACCATTGTTAGCAGAGACGCTTGGTGACTGTTAGCACAAGCTTTGTAGCAGCACTTCGAGGTTTGGAGGGAGGTGGAAGTAAAGCAGGGTGGCATTAAGAGTAGCTGAGGGCAAGACAGCCCAGATGAGCGTGTCAGTGAAAAGTTTGGTAGTCTCTGGTAAGGTAAGGATTCCCACTTCTTGTTGACCAACACCTTCTCCTCATGTTTGCCACAAGCAATTGGAAACTAAATTAACTGTAGATGCTAATGTCAGATGAAAAAGTGTTTTACCGGGGTGTACCCACCTTAGTTTTGTGGCTCGTCCTAGACCTCACTGAAGAATGTGTGAGGTTGTAGGCAAACACCGACTCTGGACAGCTGTGGTAGTGAAAGATGTTACTGCATCGGCCAGGACTGGAGGAAAATTTTTTTTTAGGGTTGATTCCTAAATTACCCGAGGGGAAAATCATCAAGGTTACCCGGTCACGTTGTTTATAGTATAGTTGCAGTTATATAGGCACTACTTATATAGGCCTAGATATATCTGTTGCTTAAAAAGGAAAGCTGGTACAGGAATGGCCATCGCTGCCTTCAAGGCTTTAGCAGGCTCAGTTTTCTTGCAGTTACTTACCCATAACTGTTTCTCATAAAATATATGCTAGCAATTAAACTGGATGGTCTATCATAAAGACTAAGGGTTTACTCTGAACTGAAACATTAAAATGAATGCTTTCTGACTCTGAATTGTTTGTTATACTTCTTTAAGTTGTGGTATGGTAAGAGATCTTTGACGAGCAATAAATAGTTTTCTGCTGAAGCTAAACAAAATGTGATGCCAGTCTTATATAAAATGTCATGAATACCTTCCATAACTAAATTAAATACAGCTCACTGAAAAATGAGACATTAAAGGTATTGGTATCATGCTGGTGCTGAAAGTTGTTTTAAAAATGCATATCTTTAACTTTCGTAAATTTGCAGAGAATCCAATGTTTTCAGTGTTGCAGAGGGTAGGCAAAAAGTTAGTATCTTTCAGGACAGTTATATGCCTGTTGCTTTCTCGGATACCAAACGAGGGATGAAGGATTTCTTTGTGTTTATGCTCTGCTTAATGTCTCCTTACCTTAGACTTTTTTCTTTCTTTCAGATGGCTTGTTATTGCAGTTGGTCTAGTTCGAGCATACCTGGCTAAAGGTAGCTACCATAGCCTTTACTATTCAATAGAAAAGCCCCTGAAATTCTTCCAAACTGGAGCTTTGCTTGAGGTAGGTGTAGTCTTCTTCCCTGGAGTTACTAATACTTGCATGAGTGTTTTCTTTAGGAGAAATAAGGCAGCCTTTGAACAGTGCTGTCTAGGTACCTGTTTTGTCATTAGCATTTATAGAGTGATTTGAAGGTAAACCTAAGAAATATGCCTCACACAAATGCTGAATTTTTCCTTTAGCAAGTGGTGAGGGAGCTTACTGACTGCTGTTTAACTGGGGGAGCAGAGCTAAACATTAAGCTTACTCTTTGAAATACAAATCCTGAATCTTAAGCTCTTGTGATAGAACTAAATGTGTTTCTGAATTGCTTCATTTGAAATGTTAGTGATTTGAATTTTTCTTTTTCTTCTAGATTCTGCACTGTGCATTTGGTAAGCTTGCAAATTTTCAGTTTTATTATTTTTATGGAAGACTGAAGTTTTAGCAATATATTAGCATTAAAAATGCTATGGTCTGTGAATTGCCAGATTTAATTCTTGCATAACTCACTGATTTTTTGCTTGGAGTACATTCCAGTTTTTACTAAATAATCTGACAAGCTAAATTGCAAAAAGGAAAATAGTGTAACAGATTTTCAATTGCTTGACATTCTGTTTTTATCTAGATCCTTCTAATGCTACAAATCTTAGAGCAGTTTATAAATGTTTTACAGTAGATCATTACTCTCCATCTCTACATCCTATAATATTCTGTCTTTCCTCAAAAAAAAAAAAATCTCTAGCTGGAAGTAATTGAAATTTTAATAAAAACAACATTTCAAGCACTACAACTTTGCCCACATCCATAGAACATAGATACATGTTGTAAAATCAGGAAGGGGTAACCGCTCTTTCTCTCAGATTCAGCTGTGCTTTAATGGAACTGTTTAGGAGAGTAAGAATTACTTAAGACTTCACTCAACACTTCTTGTTAGCCTGTACTGTGAGGCTTGTTTGTTAGCTTGGTAGCAGGAACTCAGTTGTGTATACATGGCCTGGGGTCAGTAGCAGTGTCATGGTTCAGTCAGCCTGAAGAGTCTGATGTCTGAGTGACAGGATTGCATCTTGTCTGGTTTGTTCGTCCTCATGAGTGGTGAACGGTTTGGCCTCAGCATTTGGATGTTTTGTTCATAGAATAGATGATGTGTCACAGTCTCTGCAAGATCAAAGCCGATGTGCTATAAAAAGAAGCAGTGCCTGTCTGCATACCTTTGCTTAACCTTGATTTTTTTCTAAACAATCCAGTCTTCACAAAGAGACTGTCTTATGTTGAGGTAGTTGGTCTTGTGACTTTAAATGTGTTTTTGCTCCTGTCTGAATGTTTGCTAGGTACTTTTTAAAGAGTAAGGTGGCATTAAGGTTCCTAAAGCTGCAGCTACAGACCTGTTATTTTTCACGTATCGTACAAACAATCTACGTATTGGAGGGTGTATCGCTGTGGTACAAGTAGGTTTGTGTTGAATTCCTGTGCCAAATATTTTTTTTTTAATAACCAAATGTGGTAGTTGGAAAACTTAAAAATCATATACATAAGTTTGTCAGCAGAGGGCAGTCTAATTCTGTATTTGATAAAGTAGTTCTCACCTTCCTGAATAATTCATTTACTCTGAAAATGTTACCTTATAAAGGGCAGTTTATAGACTGTGCACGGATCATCCCAATAAATAAATGATCATATGCTCCTCAAATTAATGTAAAGGCTTCTCGGAGTAAGCGATACGTATCATATAGTTGCCTGTGCTGCCAAGGCAATCCTTCCAATACTGTTTTATTTTCCTAAATATCAATTACTGTTTTTTTACCAGAATAAACCATACTTCTAAAAAATTTGTCAAAAATGAATAATAAAATGTGAAATTTTTGAAGTCTTATTTAACCAAGAAGGAGAAGTTAAATCTCAGAACACTGGGGAAAAAAAAAACTTGCAAATAAAATGCTTTTTTACCATCCTAAGTCTATAATGCTCTGCTGTTTTCTTAAGCTAAACTTGTGTGCAGATGCCAATGTTTACTGGTACTAAATCTAAGAAAGAG